GACATTACAGAGTGGTGAGAAGCTTCACTGCAGTGATTGTTGTCATGGATGCTCTTCCTGTTTGCTGTTGACAGATGCTTTTTGCTATCAGAAGTAGCTGGGCCTGAAGATCTGACAGGAATGATGGAAAGAGGCTTATCTTTACGGAAGGGTTCTCTTCAGATGTGATCGTTTCAGTCAGGGTCTATCATATAAGAGCTATTGCTAGAGAGATCCTCATTTGCTTTTTCTGTTTTGTTGTTCTGTGCAACTCTGGGTGGAAGCACAAAGGATGGGTGCTTGCTGGAGCTTCCCTTGGCACAAAAGAAAACATTGGTATTTGCAAGGGTTTTATTGTCACTTTCTGCAACTGCCCTGGTTTCTGCCTAAAGGAATCAAAATTACTTTTGATACTCATGTGAAAAACCCAACATTTTGGTCAGTTTTCCCTAATAAGCGTTACTGGAAGCTGAACTGTTGGCAAAGGCTGTTTTTCATCAGAAGCCAAAGAAATTTTCAGATCACTTGGTGCTCAAACTGGGCTTGTCATTGCTTAAGTCTGGGATTTTCCAGTAAACTAGAAGCTTTCAGTCAGAGACCTTTTAATCTTCCCTTAGCAAGCAGAAACCTGCCACACTGCTTCTGTTTCAAACACAGAAATGTCACAATGCCCATTCTAAAAGATGCCTGTATCAAATGTAAAGAGCTGTGGCAATCTCATTGATTAAGTGCAATATTTTTTTACTACCTTTGTGCATTTTTGGAAGTACACTTGGACTGTGTGGTTGATGTGCCTGTTTTAGGCTTGTCCCAAAAATAGCCTGGTGACCTCTTCTGATATGGAATCTGGTATGGAATCACAGAATCATTAAGGTTGGAAAAGACCTCCCAAGACAAGTCCAATTTTTGACCAAACACCGTCATGTCAACTAAACCACAGCACTCAGTGCCACATCCAGACATTTCTTGAACACTTCCAGGGATGGTGGCTCCACCACCTCCCTCAGCAGTTCATTCCAATGCCTGACCACCCTTTCAATGACGAAATTCTAACTGATGTCCAATCTGAGTCTCCCTGGTACATCCTGAGGCCATTTCCTCTCATCCTGTCTCTAGTTGCCTGGGAGAAGAGACCGACCTCTCCAGGAAACAATTTCTTTTCAGGAGCAATAAGGTGTCCCCTGAGCCTCCTTTTCTCTAGGCTGATGGCCAAACTCACCCATCTTCCTAAGCTTCCCCTCAGAGGACTGAATTTCCAGACCCTTCCCAGCTCTGCTGTCCTTCTCTGGACACACTCTGGTGTCTCAATGTCTGTCTTGTACTGTGGGACCCATGAGAGGTGGGTTGAAACTACTGCTGATATCTGTCCTAGGAGAATATTCTAATGTCCCTAGGCAGAATAACCTAATAGTTAATAAAGTATAATAGGTAAAGTTCCTTGAGACTTCACCATCATGTCGAGAGCAGTTATTCTTATTTGGTTTTTGTAAACATTTGTTCTATTATGGTTCATCAAGATATTTTCGGAAACAAATCAGCTTAGTAGAAAAGCCTGAGAAATTGAGGTTATTTTTCATAGGGCCTTTGAAGGCTTATGTTGAATACCTCTAAATTAAAGTATTTTAAGATACTTCTCACAGTGATTCTAGAGAAATGGCAGGAAGCTTCTCAGTCCTCTTTACTAAATAAAGCCATGGAGAAGCACTTCTGTTTCATCCGCGCTGCTGTGCTAGGATCTGAGCTTGCTCCTTTCTGTCTGAAGCTTTTTCTCTTAACACAGAAAACAGGCTCTTCCCCTGGCCTTACTTACACTCTTTAAGCCTCATTTCACACTTCCTCTGAACATTGTAGGATTACTGCCCAACCCTCAGCAATTAGAAACAACATACTTAAATTTATTGTTGTTTTCTAATCCTTCCATAGCATTAAGTGGTTTCAAGTTTTAATGCTGACATGGAAAATCAAAACAATTTTTCTTTGCCATCTCTATCTTCTCTCTTGTCATTATGCTGGAATGGGAATACAAAAGAAGCTAAAAAGAGGGGATATAAGCAAAAGGTCTGTGTGTACAAAAGATCTGAATCACAGCTGATACTCCAGTGTTGTTTGCACTTGTACCATTTACTTGATGATTAGGAAGATGCTTGACGACTGAGCTGGATATAGCATGTAATCCAATTTTTTATCTAAAAAAGTAGATGCATAGGAAATGAGGAAAATAAAGAAAGTGGTTTCATGGAGATAATTCACATATGAAAACAAAAGAACTCCAAGCAGAGTCCATGTCTAGTTGTGTTGAGTTCAGAAGGGAATAATCCATGTCATGTTTTCTCCTTTTTTTTGTGAAAAGAGGGAGTCACATGGGATAAAGAAGAAAATTAACTGAGTTTGTGGACTTTTTTTTTTCTTTCTTTTCTATGAGACAAAATGAAAGGAAGAGGAGCAACTTGACCTACCTGGTAGTGGAAGGTGTCCCTGCCAATGGAATTAGGTGATGTTTGTGGTCCCTTCCAACCCAAGCCTTTCTGGGATTCTGTGAAAAGGCCTTTCCTTGCAGAATAAGCCCATTAAGGGAAATAAAAAGCTTAATATTCTTCAGTCAGAGAATCTGCTAAGATGTCAGAGAATATATATAAAAGAGTCTAAATGTAAAGGATGATTTTAAAGCAAAAATGTATACCATATCTTCTGTCCACAGGAAGAATTATTTAATGTAGTACTGAAGTCTTTGCAGCAGAAATGACCTCAACAATCTCAGTTATCTCAGTTAATGAGTTAAAATGTACAATTTAGAAGTACAGTATTGCTTTAGGGTGCTTTGAATAAGCTTGCTTTTTGCAGGCAGTTCCTTTGAAACAAAATACAATTCTATAAGCTGTGAGTTCATACACAATACTAGAATTTTCTGTAATTCTAAAAAAACTCAAAAAAATTCATTATCATGAGTCTTGGTTGTGAACATCATGGAATATTTATTCAGACTTTTTAACAAATTAGTTTTGTTTTCTTTTTTTTCCTTTCTCCACCCAGACCTTACAACCATCTGTAATGTACCCTTTTCTTTGTGTCTTGAGGTTTTCTTATCTGAAGTTTTGGGCTTGTTTAACACAGAGCTGACTGGAGAATGTTGGCATTATTCATAGAACATGAATGAAGTAGAGCAGGGAGTACTGAATTGCACTGGACAAGTTGCCTTCCCACTGTACCTTGTACTTTTCAAACAGATTATTAATTTTGAAGAGTTTGTCTGTTAATAAAGATGAGTTGTATATATACTTTCAGTATAAGTGAAAGGTTCCTTCCTTTCTGATGTTTATTTGTTTTGCAGTTTGTGTGCTGTAAAGTGAGACATTTTTTTTTGTTTAATAAATTTATTAGATCTATGAAATGAGACTCCACAAAGTCATTCTGACAGGATTGACAGATACAGGGATGGAGCTCAGCTGCTTTAGACTTCTAAACTCGATCACAGTCTTAAAATAAATAAGTTCTGTGTGGAAGGATAGTGAATGTCAGTTTTCAGTTCATTGTCAGAATAAAGACTTTTATTACTGGCTGCTGCAGGGAGAAAATACTTCTTATTCCAACTTTACTCTTATTCTGGGGTCCTCCTCACCTGAGAAACCATAGAGAAAAGGGTTTGTAGGGATAATTCTTTGTGGATCTTCAAAGTTCAGTAGTTCAGTTGGTTAAGTTTTTGTTTAGGAAGCATTATACCAGCAATAAAAAATACTCATCCAGGCTTTTTAGCTATTCATATGCACACACCAAAACTGTATTTTTTTCCTGGCCTGGTTATTTTGAGGGTTTTAAAACGTTTAGTTTAAGGGGGAAAAAAAGAAACCAAAATTATACACAAACAAACTCAAGCACAACAGTCTTTTGTCAGTTCAGAAGTAAGTGTGATGTGTTGTTTGTTTTATATAAATGCTTTACCTGCTAATTCATGTTAAGGCTATAAATTGTTTATTTTCACTCTGGTGTTTATTTTGTTAGCAATCAATCTAATGTTAGGAACATTTTGTCAATATTAGTAATTACTTGCTAGTGATCATATATTAGTGATTTCCTTCTCACTCAGGAGGTGATTCTATGAAAAGGTCTTTCCTTACAGAATAAATCCATTAGGAGAAATAAAAAGTTTAAGAGTCTACTGATCTGGTAGCATCATCTCATAGAGTATTTTCCAAATATTGTCAGCCCTGAGTCTGGCTGTGGTTAGAAAGAAAAGGAAAATAACTATTTAGGCACTTGTTTTTCATATCCTACAAACTGTGTTAAAGACTACACGTGGGTAGGCTTGGATGAAATACAAGAGCATAATGGAGTGATGTGTAATAAGGGCTGTTCTTCAGTTTCCATTCAGGGGTCTTAATACAAGTATAAAAACCATTATGAAAGGGAGGACTTTTTTAGGCCATGAATATGGTATTCATCCACGATTTTGAATCCTAACAACTACAGATTTCATCTTTTAACATAGTTCCTATTGTCATTTCTTCCTGTTAAAATGATAGCCTTTATATTTGTGTTCTGCTGTCTTGTTTTGAAGACACTGGAACTTGTACACACACAGCAGCTGTATAACCTTCCAATCACCAATTATTTGCCTTTTATTGCATTCTTGTCAGATATATATCTTTGAAGATATAAAAGCAAAATACTAGTAAGTGATGACAAAGAATGTATAGATGAATGAGGTGGTTCAGTACCTACATCTCCATTTCTTTTTCATTAACACTTGTAAGATCTTTAACTTTCCCAACTATAATTTTAAAAGGAAAATTTCCACAATGTGGATGAGTGATGAAAGAAAAGTGATGAAAAAAAATCTTGAATGAAATTAAATACAGTTTCTAATCCATAAACAGGCAGGACCTCAGTTGTCACTGCCGCATGGATACTTACCTTTCTTAGGGCATGTGCTATATCCTTCAAGCTCTCTTTTCAGAGGTAGAACGTGTAATTATTTCTTCTCATGTTTTCTTTCCTGCTCTCTCCATGCCCCTCCTGCCCTGCAGTGGAGCAGATTACTATGACTATGGCCACGGACTGAGTGAAGACACCTATGACTCCTATGGTGAGTGGCTTTACAGCTCAATCACTGCAGCAACAGATCTTGGAAAAAAATCATAATGAAAGGATAATTTCTGTGAGGCAGTGCTTAGTCCTGCAGCAGGCAATGGCTGCTCAGGGATTCCTGAGGTGTCACAGAGCTCTGCGTGTGCTTATTGAGAAAAATGCCCTCTGTGGTCTGTTAGCTAACGCAGTCATGGGAAACTAAAACTGAAGATGTAGAGAAAATAAAACTTAAATCATGATGCATGCTGCCTTTTCATGTCTCATTCAGTAAGATTTAAGGAAAAAAATGGGGGTGGAGGACCTTTTTCCAGGAACTTTTGGCTGCCAAAGGCAAATGCTTGTGGTGTGGTCTCAATGCACAGCTTGCATTGAGACTTGGTACAAGGTAGGAATCTGCTGAAGCTCCTAGCTGAATTAGGGCCTAATTGAGTGTGGTTTAGCCTTGTATGGTCCTTTAGTTTTAATTCATTTTCATGCATCAGTCCTGGGAAATCAAGCAGGGAGTCATTATGTAAAGGTTAGGGAAGTATTTTAGGTAGCTAGTAGACATGAGGGCAGGGGTTACTCTGTATAGAGACAAAACAATGCTTAATGAAGCAAAAAAACATATGCCAGTTGTAAAGATTTTTTTTCTTTTTTTTTTTTTTTTAAATATACGGGTGTGATAGTGACAGGTTTCATTAAAGAAATTGTTACGGATTAGAAGCATAAAGCATTTTAAAAGGCACCTTTGATTAAGAGATAAATGTTAAGTCTCTGGCTAGAGATCAGGGCAATGCAATCAAGGTCTCTCAAATCTCAAACATTTGAGGGTTGTTAATAACCTGTGTAAAAGATGTGATTCTGAGTAATGAATGCTTCAATGATTTTGGGGCTCCACTTGAAATTTTCCAAGGTCTATTTCTTTAATTCCATGTGGAAATGCTTCCTGCTTGAAACTAAAATGACCTTAACTAAGTTGTGATAAATGCACCTAATGCAGTAGTTTCCCAATATACCTGCTTAAGCTAATTCTTTTGCTTAAGGAGAAAGTTTATCAAAAGAAGAGGTCACTTGAAATTCCTCTGTCCCCCAGCACTTTCAGGTGGTGTTGATAGATATATAGCTTAAATCTTCATTTCAACATTAAAATAAACTGTTTGCCCTTATAAACCTGATATTTCTACGACTATTTCAGTAATCCAGAATTGATGGGGGAAAAATGTGTGAAACTGCTTAATGTAGATAGACTGATGGGGAGAGATATTGATTGCAATATTTAAGGCTGAAAATATGGATTTTACATTTCTTTTGCATTTAAAATTGGTTTTCTATTTATCAAAGCACAGCCACTCAGAATATTAAGTGATGTATTTATTCAAGTTGAAAGAAAAACTATAAATACCTTGAAGAATGATTATAGGTTGCAGCCACTGTAGTTTTTGCACATATAAATAGTTACACACTTTATTTCTAAAGTATATGCCTTAAAAGCAGAGTTAGATATTAATAACCATCTTCACTATATGTAAAGAACATTAGATGCCTCAAAATAAGTAACACTGCCTAGTGAGCAGGTAGTTGTCTAGTGCTGGCTGGGAAGAAATTCAGAAATTGAAATTCCTGAGATCCAGGTGGAATCTCAGCTTTTCCTTTGAGAAACTGAGGTGACAATCCAGAGGATGTAGGAAGAATATCAGTATTTTTGGGATTTGGAGCCCTGAACAGCACCAAAATGAAAACTGAGAAACAGTAGGATGACTCTTTACCCTGCAGATTTGATCAAGAAAGAGCAAGTATTCCCCTTAAACTGTAACCAAGACTTGTAATTTAATCAGTTCTTGCAGCACTGTTTAAAAGCTAGGGTATTTTTAATTCCTACCTCTCAGTCAGCTGCCAGTACTACTATGCTCAGGGTCTTTTTCTTTTTTAATGTAAATCTTGCTTTCTGTGTGATGAAGAAGCACAAGAGGTTGTTACCAGATGCCCCTGGAAATCGCCTGAGGTGAAAGTTTAATTCTTTCAGCCTTACACCAAATTTGAATGTGTCCTTTTTACCTCCTAGGCAAATGTCCTGACCACCCAGGTAGGATTTATAGCCTGGACTCTGCAGGCAGCCATCTACCACCTACATTATTAAATAGCAGTTAGGATGAGGCTTCTGCGAAGGGACTGTGAAACTGAACCCTTGACATATGGGATCCTTGTCATCTAATTTCAGATATCTCATGTCAGAGCAAGTGACCTCAGCCTTCAGATTGCAGGGGTTCTTTGATTTCTTTTTTTTTTTTTTTTTAAGACCAAGTGATGTCTTTGTTTATTCTGCCATACATTTGGATTCTGCCTTCAGTTTCTGGATTGCATTGGGTTCACTGGAGCACCTGTCTGTTTAGGGCAGGGCAGTTCAGCAAAAATAAATAGGGAAACACATACACTGTTTTAATGTGTGTTTTCTTTTGGGGATTTTCTTTAGTGCTGCTTTTTCATTTTTGTTCTTGTAGATGTGACATAGTACTCTGATTTGTTTACATCATTAAAGTGTAGCTAAGTATTGTTTCCTTATACTCTAATTCTATGTTTTCCCTTTTGCAACTGCCTGGCATAGTAGCTCTGACTCTCATTTAAGATAATAATTTTTGCTACTTTTAAAAAATATTTATTACCATTAAAAGGTGGTAGGATTATGAATCATTAAATACGGCACAAGCTTTATTTTACAAACTTATTTTATAGGCAAAATTCAAGCAACCAGTGTTACTTGTCCTTTTAATATTTTTTTTTAATCTGCCTTCCTGTCTCTTGCATTTCAGAGGAGGTGTGTATTTACTTCCAGAGAAATGGAATATTGGCCCAAGCATGTTAAAAGCCACAAGTGTTTGTAGTGATACCTGGGGCTTGGTTTGCATGTTTGAATTAGGCCTAAATTGGCACTGATGCAGAGAAACTTATTTCTGAGGGCAGCTTATTTCCTTATACATAATTCATACCTTGCATCCATTTCATCTCCTTGCAATTATTGGTGTGTCTGCTACAGGAGCTGACATTTCTGTGCATTTGCAACAAGCAGGTCCAGCTGAATTTCCACAGCTGTAGATATTTTAGCCATTATCCTCTCATGTTCCCTGCTCCTGTGTGATGAGGAATCACTGTGGGATAGCTCAGATAGATGTGCTGTACCCAGATTTCTTGTTTCAAGTGTTAGACTTGTACACCTTGGTTTCTGTCAACAGAATGTGCCTGTTTCATTCACAGATAAGAAAAATTACATTCAGCATCTGAGAATGTTGGAAGGGCTCTGACCATATTTTCTTTTCCTTGTAGGGCAAGAAGAATGGACCAACTCACGACACAAGACACCTTCTGCAAGGACAACAAAAGGAGTCTACAGAGACCAGCCATATGCCAGATACTGATTGTACTGTCTGATGTTGTGAAATATCCAATCTCCACCAGTCCTGTATACTGTTCAAAGTAATTTTTTCTATGAACAATCCCTTTTTATTAACTCAAAGTGCATAAAATTCTGAATGGATGGACTGAACTTTAAACATTTTGTTGAAAGAACAACCTGGACAGAAAGATATGTAAAACAAGGAACTTTGTTATTTCCAAACTGTGTTTGAAAAAATAGGTGATCAAAAAAATAACCTTTGATTAACTAGTGTTAAACAAAAAATAGGTTTACTAAATACGTTAGTCCATTCTTTTTAACATAAGTGTAGCCTTTTATTTTAAAGGTTTTCAACAATTTAGTTTTTAGCTTTTATTTTCAGCCATTTGCTAGATTTTCTCTTTGCAAACATGCGTAAAAAGGGAAGCAAACTACAAATGCGAATAATGTGGTATTTTGTAACTCAAGTCTTGAAATGTTCTGTAGTGTTAAGCAAAGTTTTACCCTTGCTTGATACTAAATAAACTTTTGAAAGAAAATCAGTGTGTGTGAGATTAATTTTATGCTTTATCTTATAATAAAACTTCATAAATAGTAGTAAACAGGGAGAAGTGTTTAACAGTGATCAGCATAAAAGGCTCATATTAAACATTGTGCAACTTCTTCTAAAACAAAATGGTTTAAACCTAAATGTATCTCTCTATATACTCACAGTAGATATAAATGCTGTTTAAAATATCCAAATGGTATGGATCTGCTTGAGTGCCACATTAAATCAAAATACTTTTGTTTAAAAATGGTTTAAAATAGCTAATGAATTTTCTGGGAAAAGATGTGACTAGTTTTCACCTTGTTGAGCATTTTTTCACTAGTGCAACTTTGGAATTTTTATGAGAATTTTGGTACCTTAATGACCACCTCGCTCCGTGCTGGAAGCAATAAACACAAAGCTTTTAAAGACTTTCTGACTTGACTAATTGAGGTCGCTTTCGTCAGAGGCAGAGGATGTGTAACCCTTAAAACGGTCTTCATTTGCAAAGGTAAATAAATCAAATAAGATTTTAATCTCACTTAAGTTATCTTAATATAACCAATAAAAACAGGGAGGCTACAACTTAGAAAGTTTCATTTTAGAATGTAGGAAAGACTTGTGAGGACACCTAAATTCTCATTTTAAAACGTTTAGTTTGTGTTAGTCATCTAAAAAGCCTTAGCTTAGCTAGTTAAATTTGGACAAACTATTCCCTATTAAACAACTGTAAAACCTCATAACCAATAGTTTGTAATATATTCTTTTTCCATAAATTCTAGTAACTTAAACATTGCAAATGTTATCTAAAGCCTTTTTTTAAGCATTGTTTCTATTAATTACAGTTTGATTTACATTGTTTTCTTTAGTTTTTATTTGAAATTCTTTGAAATTTAGTAAAAACATCTTTTTTTGTTTCTCTCTTGTCAGGAAACTCACCTCCTTGGACAGCCAAGAGAACAAAAACCCTAATCTTCTGATGCTTTGGTAGGTATCTTTGCTCATCTCTGAAATTATTAGATGGAAAATGGAGCTTTTCATCAGGTTCTTAATTCTGCACAAAGCTTTAAGTTATGTGTCACTGTCTGAGTTCAGTCGTGGTAGGAAAAGTAATACTTTTAAGCTCTCATTAATCAGGACCTTAAGCTGTAACAGTGTGTGGACACTGCCCTGGCAGTTTATTGAGGGGTGTGCACAGCTTTGGCAGCATCTCAGACAATTAAGTCTTTGATTGGACAGGGGAAGCTGAAGAAACCAAATGTAATTTGATGCTTGTCGTTTTCAAATAGGAATTTAAAACTCTAATCTGGTCAACAAACATGTCTAAAATATGAAAAATACATTTTGTAAACTGATTTTCAAAGCAGGCATTTCTGCACAAATAGCAGACTGGTTTCTGGCATTAATTGAAGGAGAACAAATCCATTAAGAAACATTAGCTGAAGAATAGCTGGCTCTACTGTTTCTGCTCAATTCAATATACAAAGTAAGAAATAATTTAACTGTGTTTGTGCTCAGATGGTGTATATTTTAAATAAAACAGATTTTTTTCTACTTGGACTGGTAGTTCTTCCTGCTAACCTCATGATCTCAGTGATTTTAGTTGACAAGGCTCAGATAAATAGAGCTTTATACTGTGAAATATTGCATAAGTTGCACTGCCTCTGTGTACTGCAGTAAATTTAAGAGGCTGCTGTCACAGGCTAAAGGAACCTTTTGTACATACAAAATGGCTTTAGAACTGTTTTGAGTGTTTTAAGGGCTTAAATCAAAGGACTCTAAGAGTAGCAGGGCTTGAAGAAGATTTCTCCCCTTTGGGGCTCAGAAGGGAAAGATTTAATACCAGCTGCTAGAATTCCTATGGCAAAACTGAATATATAAATATATTTTAAAAATATTTATAAAAATTGGCGCAATCTCTCCTTCTGGTCACATCTTAAATCACATAATTTGATGAATTATATAGGAAGTGTTCATCTGCAAACATCATGTATTATTTTAAATAAACAGAATGAAACTTAAGGGGTTGAAACTAAAATACCTAGTAGCAAGGGTGGCTAGTAGATAAATAAGTGAGTCAGAAGTGGATTCAGTGTTCTGTATTGTTTATCCAACTCTCTTTTATTTAATGCAATATTTTCTTATTGCCTCCAGTATGGAGGATGAATGTGTGATCTGCATGTGTGATTTCTTCCACTTCTCTGCTACTCTGCCCTGAAATCCTAGAGAGCCTTAAATTATTTTAGGTTCCCTTCAGGGTGGAAAAAAGTGTCTCCCTGAAAATAGATGCCCTAAGTGCACCATTGAATGATTACCATGTGAATGAAGTCTTTCTTCTTCCAATGCTCTACATCTTATTTCTCCTAAGAAAATGGGTTTCCATGCCTCTTCAAAAAAAAAAAAAAGTATCAATTCTCATGCTCTATGTGTGCACAATAAAGTACTTCAGTTCAAACACATGGTATTGGATATTCTTCAAAACTGTATTTTTGCAGTGCAAAGCTTATCTTGGCATTTCCTCAAATAACATGCACTAACATTGTTCTGCTATTGCATTTCTCTTGTGGGTATTTTTTTTTCTGTGGAGTAATCTCTTAAATTAAATCAATTTGATTTTGAGCAGAAGGGAAAATAATCTAAAAGGTCTACATGAAAGAAAACCAATGTAGAAGGCAGCCTTTTTTCCATTGTGACAAAGGTGTGTTTTCATTCTAGTAGAGTTTTGCACTCTGACACTGGCCTGTTACTGTATGTTACTGGTCAAAAAAGTTGTGTTAATGGTCATAATATCAATACTTTGCCTTTATTGAATCTTCTTATAAAATTTCCACTGAATTGCAATGATAGCAGTTTCTGCAATGCTTGCCTAGATCCCCATACATTTATTATATGCAGAATGGTCTGATTCCTCTAGTTGCACTCTGTCAGGCTTCAGAGAATATGTGATCTTTAGTCTCAAGATATATACAAATAAAGTGTATTTTGCTCTTTTTCAGGAACTTCTGCCATGTTAATTATGGACTGCTTAGAGCACTGTACCCATATGCTCAGACACTGACAAGACAGAGTATGAAAATCCTGCTCAGCATTTCTTGTATGAAAGCCTTAAAGTGTATAACAGCATACACTTTTTAAAAATAATTGTATAGTGAAACTCTTAACTGTATAGTGATGCAACAATGTTTTATTTGGAGCTCAATAAAGAATTTCCATCTAAGTTCCTGTTACAAAGCAATAACACCACCTCCTTTTCTTTAGTGACTCTTTTTAGCCTTATGCAGCAAGTGTGAGAGAGTGTGTGAAGTCTCATGACTAGAACTTAAATGCTTCTGGAAATAGCTTGTCTAATGTAGGAACAACATGGATAAGTTAAAATGAAGATTGGTGTTTTCTGCTGAAGCTTTTTTAATAGTTAATTGTAAACAAGTCTTCTCCAGACAAGATTCTTGGGTAGAAATAATGCTCCAACTTCCATTTCCTTCAAAAACTTGTATAAAAAGGTGTTTAATCCCTGTAAATTATACTATGCTGCTTATTCTCTTTCACTTGGTGTTTGATGCATAGGAATCTTTTCTCTAATACACAGTCACAGGTTTTCTAGTAGTAGTCTTGGATGAGGCTTTTACACCTTGATAAATCTTGTATCCAACAGTCATGTTTCCTCAGTGCTTTCTGTTTTATATTAATTGTGATTGTGATAATTTGTAACAGAAATAAAGTTCTGATAATTTATTTTCTTCTGTTCTTTTTCATAAATACTGCTTGCAGAGCACATGTGCCCCATTCATCAATTATGGTTCCATCAGATGCATTTTTCTTCACTGAATCTCAATTTATTGCCAACAAAAGTATAATTTGGTTCTTTGTTGTTACTGGCTTGAACATAAACAATACCACTTTACAGTTTCACACCAAAATGCTGCCTCTTCAACGGGTTTTCATAACTTCTATATACTGACTTCTGAAAAATAGCTTTGAAGATGTGGGGTTGTGGATAAAAATAAAATTTCCTATTAACTGTGGCACCAATCAAATTATCTTGAGTAAGGGAGTTTTTAATAGACTTAGTAAACTGACCATTAAAAAGTCTGTATGTTTAACCTCGGAATATTTAAGGTGATTTTGTCAGTTAATCTCACCATCTGGAGAGATTTTCCCTGCCTTCATCTCTCACTGTGCTAAAACTGCATTTCTAAACTGTTTTCCACAGCCAGGAATAGTAATTATTTAAATAAATGAAAGCAAAATCAAGAAAAAAACTTCTTTGAATGAGCACAAGAGATGTATAATAATGATTCCTTCAGACTGACAGGCAGGAGCCTCTGGTGTGGAACAGCACCTGACATTTTAAATGCAGGACAAGTATAAAAACTGTATATAGATAGTGTGTGGGGAATTTAGATAAGCAGAATGCAATTTCACTTTCTGTAATTTGGACACCAGGATTGCCAGCACAAGCTCATTTGATGAGTGCTGTGAACTACTCAAGGAGTGCAGTATCACCTTCCACTCTGGAGTCATGGGCTGTTTAAGGGCAATACTAAAATATTTTTGGCTAGACTTATGTGACTGTCAGGGCTATCTAGCAAATGTGGCTTTCCTGGGGTCTTGTCTGATTGCTGAGTGGCCTGAGAGGAGCCACTGGGGTCTGGTCAAAGTGGGCTGCCTGTGGCCATCCAGCTGTTGGGGTTACAGCTGCTTTGCTTTGTCTCACTGAGAGTTCAAGGACTGGCTGTCCTTAACCATTCTCTGATTCTGTGGGTCTATTTCTGCCGGATTCAATCATCATTAGGTAAAAATACAAGATTTTGTGATTGTGTTTTGAGTGAAATCTGGGTCTCATTGGTCACTCAGTTCAGGAGCAGCCTTGTGCTGCCTCAGTGATGTTGCACTGTGGGACAGTCCTGATGCTCTGTTCCCAGAGGGGACATCAATTTACTGCAAAGGTTTTGAGGCAGGATGTGAGCCTGCTACTTCAAATGAGCCGTCCAGTCTGCATCACAGCCTGTCCCACTGTGTCTCCTCTGTTGGAGATGACCCCACCTATGAGGTACAATAAATCTATGAAAAGATCTTTGTTCCATGACAATGAATTAGAACATACTTTGAGGTCAGACATCTTTCTAAGTGATGTTGAAGAACATAAATTTCATGCTGGAACTTCATACTTCTGAAGGAAGTGAAAACTTAAACAAAGGAACTGAAAATTTAAAGATCAGAATGCAAAGCTCGACTTAAAATGCACATATAATGATGTGGTATAAATAAAATCAAATCTGTTCTTGAGTGATTCTGCTCCAATTTCCCCACACAGAATTTTGCAGTCTTTTTAAAACTATTTTAGCTATTAAAATTGGATTTCTGTAGTAAGATCACAAAAGTGTGTTAAAAGGGCAAATTTTTAGAAGAATTTCCAGGTTGACAATGTCCAAGAACACCAGCATTGTTAGCAGCTGAAGTAAATACACACCAAGAATCCAAATATCTTTGACTTTATAACTTTATGAAAAAGACTAATTGGATGAAGGGGCTGAGAATTACTTTCACAAGCTCAGCAGTTTTCTCTGAGACAGCTGCATTTGTTTAATGGGGAGAAAAACCCCTTTGGTAATGGAAATTATTGAAGGTATTTAGTATTAAAGCAGACATTGTGAAGATAAATGTTTGTGCAGCCTCAGATACTTCATTGTGCATTGACCCTTGTCTTCAGGCAGGCTTTCCACATGACTGCAAGTCAAGAGAACATCTCTGGCAAACCTGGATTTTAAAGATGTTTAAGCTGTAGCCAGGGGCCAAAATAAAGCTGCTTTGCTGCATAGTTCTTTTTTTTTACGTCGTTTTTTCCATCAGTGGGAAGTATTAAAAAAGTGTGAGATGTGAACACTTAAAAATAGGACATTAGGAAATAGGCTTAATGGACACTTTCACTTTTTGGTCAAAGATGTACTTGACAAATATGAAATTAAAATAATTTAGTAAAGGTTTATGGCAAAATTTATCAGGAATCTATATATCCAGTAATCAAAGAAACTTATTTTCTTTCAAGATAGCCACTGAGCCAGAAATCCTGACTAAACAAGATTCTGATCTTATTATGCAGAGAAAAATCAAATATAAATCAGTCCTTGGAGTATAGTTTCTGCTTTTGCAAAGCTAAATACTAAACCCCTTCTTTATGCTTAGAACCATTTGGCATGAAATAGCATAAATAATTTTATCTTTATTTTCCTACTGAAAAGTAGAATAAAATAACAGTTTTCAACCAAAGTGAAATTCCAGCACCTTTGTGAAGTTAATGGGAAGTTGTGGCTTTTTTTCTGACCTCCAGAGAGTGATTTTTTTCTCCCTTAAACAAAACATAGTAAACTTCCAAATGCTTACTCAAGCAGTAACCCAGGAACTCAATTTTTTTGTCTTCAGTGGCAAAAGAGTTGGTGGTAATTTGTGCTCTTGCTGTTGATCTCTCTGTGAAGATCAACCCAAAGATCCTGATGTCCTAAATATCTCAGGAGGATGAAACACGTTTTATTCATTTGAATACCTGCCTTGTTTTTTTTTTGTTTCTCTGTTAAAAGTTGAAATTTCTTAGTGTGGAGATAGCTGTTGTCTTTCTTACTGAAAGAAGATATGTAGACTCCATCTCAGAATTAACTACTATTATTATGATATTTAAAAAAAAAAGAAAAAAAAAAGGAAAATATATTTTTCCTTGAGTTAATTCTTCTGATAGTGCAATTATCAGCTCAGAAATCCATGGATGAAGATGATCTTGCTTCAGATAGTGAGACTGCTAAACCTGCATTCATGGACTGGGCTTTTGCTAAACCATTTTGCAACATTTATGTTACAATATATTCACTATTTAGAAAATTCGATGGACCTTTCAGGACAGTTAATTACAGTTTGATACCAAGTGAGAAGACTGAATAGACTTCTGCCTGTCTGCATACTGAAAATCATCTGACTAATGTTGATTATCTGAATTATCCACATGTGAAAGTTGACCTTAATTTTTTCAGTAGAAGTTTACAGATTCCCAGAAAGAGAGTTGGAAGGGACCCACAAGGATCATCAGGTCCAGGGACAGACCCCACAACCTTGGGGGGTTACCAGCACCAAGGTGCTCTGACCAACTGAGCCAATCTCAATTATAAGCAACGAATAAGACAGAACAAACCTGCATTCAAAATTCAAAATTAGAGCATATACCATGCACAGTTTCATTATTTTACAGCACTTGAGACTCTAACTTCAAATGGTTTGAATAGAAAATTCCCTTAGATATTTAAAATACTCCAGTGATGATTTTCTCATACAGCTTGCTAATAAGAAAAGTGTGTGTGGTTTTTCCATTATTAATTTTAAGACTTTTTTTTTTTTTTTACATCAGAAATAGGATCACTCCAAGACTGACAGAATTAATAAGTCAAGAAAGCAGAGCTGATCCTCAGGCAATTTTCCTGAACAAGCTACAGGATGAATGCATAAGGGATAGTGGCAAAGTTTTGTGGTGTGTTTGATGGTGGTGACCATGAAATGCATTTACCTTATTAGACTCATTACAGGCTTGAGGAAATGAAAATGTAAAAAATAATACAAACATATTACACAAAAGGAAACTGAGAATTTGTTAAAAAGAAGCCTATATACTAAAAGACAATTTGGACTTCAAAATCTGGAAGTGAAGAGGAAAATCACCGTATTCCAGAACATATCTTCCCTAAGCTAGCTTGGGAAGCCATGCGATAGCTGCTAATATTTTTTTTTCTTTTTTTTTTTCTTCTTTTTTTTTTTCTGTTTAGGTTCTTCCATCTATTTTTCCCTGAAGCTCACTCTCAGTTTAAAGGTATTTGATGTTAGGAAGTTGAAGTGATATATCATAGTCCAATTGAGCAAGATAAACGCAGGTCACAGTTGTGGCCTGGGATAACTAACTTTTTTTAATTTTTCTGCCTATATCTAACTGGTCTGGCATTGAAATTTCTCACCTAGTCGGAACAGCAGAACAAATATTTGGTGATACACTTCAAAGATATAAGCATATAACTTTCGTAAATGCCACAATCAATATTCCTTTGAAAGGTCACTTTGTGTACTGAATAATATTTATAGGCATGTGTACATAATTTAACGCTTTTGGTAAGGGCCCTTCAGAAGAATAATTCAGAGGACGGAAGGTGATATCTTACTGTGAGAGACTTAAAAAGCTTGATTATGGTTTATAATTGCTCACACAGGGAGAAAATAACAAGTACTAAATTACTCTAATCTAGTAGTGAAAAAAGTAAGAACTAATGCTGAGTAAAAACCCTGCAGTCTTAAATAGGAAATTAGGCTCAAATGAGAGTGATTAACCACAGCAGCGAGCCGCATGAAAGGAATGGGCTTCTCTTTGTTTTCCTGCGTAGCAGCGAGATTGGATGATCTCATAACTGTGTCTGAGCCTGAGTCATGGATCAATGATTATTGTATAATAATTCTCACTGTTGTTTTCTTTAACTGATTTTCAGACTAATACATGAGAGTTAAGGTGATCAAAATTCCTTTTACTCACAGGGATGAATTCTCCATTTCTGTCTATGTGATCTGTGTACTGCACATCTCACTGTCTTTGCAAACTGAAGGGGAGATCAGTTGGTATTTCCTGATGTGACACACCAACACAGCTCTTGTTCCTCGTGCAGGCTGCACCTAGAAGTTCTGGGTATTCTGTGGTAACCTCACAAATTACA